CGATAAGTCACACAGGAGCTCATCTTTCTCCCACAAAACAGCTGGTGGATTCGAACTACCTAACTTTGGGTTAACAGTGCAACTCGTTACCATCAAGTCACCAGTGCACGTATGTAAATGTAACTTGCATTTATTTAGATATTACAGTCTACAACTGCATTGGTATAAAGAAATGGATTCTTGTTATATAGTAAATGCTTCTTATTGTAAAAGCATGATGGGACTCGGGGCTGTGCCTCCAGAGCAGGAAGGAGGGCCAGCAAGCTCTGTTGAGTGTGTGAGTGTGCATGTGTGGGTGTGGGTGGGTGTGAGCTAGTGAGTGCATGCTTGTGTGTGTGCATGTGTGCACATGCATGCATATAACGTGTGCGCAAATGTAGCATGTGCTTGTATATGCATGTATGTGCATGTGTACGCTAGCGTGAAAACCACACCAATGCATGTGCACGTGTGAATGCAGATATGATCAAGCATGTACACAGGGACGTGCACATGCTTGAGTGTGGACACACACAATGTGCACACAGCCATTTTCAGACACACACAGCTGCATTCGTAATATTCCCTCTCCCTTTCCATGGTTGCCTAAGCCCAGAAAAAAATGGCTTTCTGGATTTGACTGGAACTTCACCTTCTGGTTGTAAATACTCTCAAGACAGATGCCTAACCTTGTCCTTTCTCAAGGTCATTAGTCCCATCAGAGGCCTGGGCCCCTTCCCCTCACCCCGCTTGAGTGTCCTCTAGGGGAAGGCTGAGGTCTGAGCTTCAGGGCAAAGTATCCTTTGCTCCAGGGAGCTCAGTCTAGACTGGACAGCTGAGGAGGGCTGCAGGGCAAGGCCACCAGTCCTACCCCTGGTGTACTGGTGACCTGCATGTAATTTTCAGACTAACATCAAAAGGCGTGTGTGCTGCACATGTGGTCTGCTTCCCGTGCCAAGGCGCGCCCCATTAAGGTGCTCCTGCCTGGCTTGTGTGGTCCCCACAGCTCCTAGTCCTCCTGGGGCCTGTTGCTTTTGATCCCCAAAGTGCAGCATCTGAGAGAAGGGAGGACACAGGGCACAGGGTGGGTGTGCTCTGGGCACCAGGCCCCACTGGCCACTTGCTGGCCTCCACCAGGCAGGGGTCAGGCCTGACCACTGAGGCAGCGCGCCCCCTAGAGGAGGGCTTGCCCGGTGCAGGCTCCTCGCGCCCCTGGGGGGCTTCTTCTGGTGGCCCAGTGTGGGGGGGGGGATCTCTGGGGGTCCTGGAGGCCAAGCCTGGAAATGCCTTCTGGAAGAAGCTGGGGAGGGGGACTTGTTTGATAAACTTGGGGTGTCTTTCCGGCAGAGGCCTAGGCCACACCCAGAGTTATATCAGGATTTGGGAAGGCAGGACAGAGGGAGCTTCGTGGCTGCGTGACCTCCGTGGCTGGGTGACCAGGTCTGACGTTCTCCACGGAGGTGGGCGTACGGTGAGGACGAGAGCCTGGATAGGGAGGGACAAAGTGGCAAGGCGGCCAGACTCAGCTCGGAAAATGACCATGGCCAGACTGAAACAGGCGAGGTGAAGCTTGGGGGTACCTGGAGCCTCACCACCCGCCCCGAACCGGAACCCAGAGTCTTGCTGTCCAGGCCTTTCCAGGCGCCATCCCGGGTCCCTGGAGCCCTGGACACCCCCTGCGCTGTCACCGCGACCCTGCAAGGGAAGGGCCGGGTGGGATTCGCCGCGCCTCCCCTAGGGATCGATAGGACGCTGGCGACGCGCGGCCTCGGCTCCGAGCCTCTGCCCCTCCCCTCTCGCTCGCGCAGCGACGCAGGACGCGGCCTCCCAGCACGTCCTCGCGGTTCCTGCCAGCGTGGGGGACGGGGCCGCCAACCCCCCCCCCCCCGGCCTGCGATCGCGCGGCTTGCTCGGGGTGGGGGCGCGCCAGCCTCCCCGCTTGGCGCAAGCCTGTCACCCCCGCCCTGCACGCACGTCGCCTTGGGCGCGCGGGGACGGGGCGCCGCGGGGGTCGGGGGCGCGCGTTTATCTGGCGAGCACCCCGGGGTCCGCCGCCGTTCCACTCGTTCCCGGCCGAACTGCAGCCGCTTTCGGCTGAAAGGGAAAGAAACAGCCGTTCCCTGTGTGTGGGCCCCGCCGGGCTGGGGGCGCGACCGAGGCAGCCGAGCGCAGACTGCGGCCGCGAGCACACAGGGGCGAGCCTCGGGGCGAAGGGGGCCCAGTGGGGAGGCTGCGGGCGAACGAACCCTAATAAATCAGCACCAAGGCCGCGGAGGCCGTTGTGAGCGCGCGCGGCGGCGGGCAGGGGAGGCGGCGACTAGAAAGGCCACATCTGAAGCTCGGTGCTGAGCGAACCGCCGCCGCTCACCGGGAGACCCAGACGCCGGGGAGGTGGCCAGGCCTCGGGGAGGGGTAGGTCGGCCGAGTGCGCGGAAAACACCGAGTCCTGCCTTGAGCGGCTACCCCCGCGTGTTGTAATGTGGAGGCGCGGCCCAAGGGGACCCGTGTGGCCCCGAGGGGTGCCGGGGCCCTACCCAGGGGCCACTGCCTCGGCGCCAGGCCACGTCCCCGCTTGAACTCTCGGCTCCAGCTCGTTTGGGTGGGTCTTCGCAAACAAAATGAAAACCGACCCTTTTTGGCAGAGACAGAAGCGGGTACAGGGGGGAGGCAGAGGGGCGCGTACAGACAGGTCACCTTGTGGGGAGAGGGTAGGTGACAAAGTGCAGGGAACGGGCGCAGTCATTCATCCACGTCCCCCAAGCCCTTGGCCCTGGCCCCCGCTGAAAAGAACGTCCAGAAGGCCACTCTGAAGTCGAAGGGAGTTAGCTCCCGGCTAAGGTCAGGCGACAGAGTGTGCAGAGGAAAGCCCGCCAGGCTTGGTGGAGGGACTTGTTCCCCCTGCTGTCCACCCCCTCGGGCCCACCCCGCGGGGAAGCCGCCGCAGTGAGCCCGCTGAGCGGAGTGCCGAGACGCGGGCAGATGAGCCCAGAGCGGCGGTCTGGGACCTGGTGGACGGTCCATCTGGGGACAGCGAGTCTTTAGAAGTTGCTTCCTCGCTCTGCGGGGTCATGTCCTTTTGGACCGGTCTGTGGGTGACCACCTTCGGTCCCTAGACATGGCAGGTTTCTGGTGTCCCAGAGCCGGCTCACGCCTCCTCCTCCTCCTCCGCGAGCCTAGGGATGGGTGGGTAGGCCCCTCCTCACGTGAGGGCCCCTGGGGGCCGCTGGGGGCCACAGCTGAAGTGACAGTCTGGCCACTTCTGTCTTGCAGTAGAGCTGGGGGGGCTGCCACCTGAGTGGGGAGGGGAGCGGTGAGTGTCAGATGCGCATTCCAATGGCCCTTATCGGGGTTCCCCTTAGGTTCACGCATCCGGGTAGGGGGGACAAGGGCCCCCGCCGAAGCTTCTGGGAATCCTGGAGGAGCCAAGACCTGAGATGGGGTGGGAAGGGCGCCGGCGGGAGGTTTCCGGAGGGGCTGTCGGGTGAGTCAGGGGGGGCTTCCAGAGCGCCCTGCGAGTTTGTCCTGCTTGCTCCTGGCCACCGGTTGGTGCTTCCGCGGACCAAAGAGGCCTCCGCCACCCACTAGCCCCGAAGAAGTGGCCTAAGGTCCAGCCCCAAGTAAGGCCGAGCGCTGGCGTGGACTTGTCCCCGGATCCGTGCACCCCTCCCCTGGACGGAACCACCGCGCGCAGCCACGACGCGGCAGCTGGGGTTTCTGGTCTTCGTGGAGTCCTCGTGGGGCGGGGCAGCCAGCTCCAGGCCTGGGGCGTTAGGGGATCTACTCCCCTCCACCAAGGCACAAGCAGATCCACACAAGACCGGCCTTGGGGGCCATCCGAGCCGCTCCCTCGGGTGGGGGGCAGGCGGACCCAGCTCTTCGGGGTCCAGCCCGCCCCGCTTCTGCGCGAACTTGCCCTCGCGATTCTGGTCGGGCCCGTGTGTGGCCCCGGGCACAAGCATGAGTCCCCGAAGGCCGTGCCAGAGCAAGTAAGGCAGCGAGCAAGCGGCCTGCGGGGTCCGACGCCCCTGGTGGTCAGGAGGCTTACCGACCACTGACCTACCCACCCCGGCCAGGCGGGCGCCGCGGAAACACCCTCCGGAGGCGGCTTTTCCAGGGGATTTTCGAGTGAGGGGCGGGCGGGCGCAGGGAAGTTCAGCCCCTTCCCGGACAGTCAGCGGGAGAGGAAAGTTTGTAGACACCCCGTCCAGGGGGACAGCGCCCACCGTGGGAGCAGGGACCGGGCGGCGGCTCTACCAGACCAAGACTGTCATGGACAGGCGACCCGCACTGGTCTGGGGACCCTGAGCCCTCCCGAGGCTGCTCGTCCCTCTCCATCTACCCTGGACAAGAGGCTCAGGGGACAGCCCGAGAACAGCAGACCCTTTCCTGTTCCCCTAAAAGAACTCGCGCACGCACCCCCAGCCGCGCAAGCACCCCCCACCCGCACCCCCACCCACACACGCACACACTCCCCCCGCTTGCATAAACAGCAGGTAGGGGTCGCCCCACCTTCCCGTCCCTAGCCAGATCTCTCGGGGAGTCACAGGTGTGCACCTCCAGTGCCCGAGGATCGCACCCCTCGCTGCAGTGGGAGGAACCCCCAGCCCAGCACCCCTGCAAGGGGAGGAGCCGCGCGGGTTCCCCGGCAGAGGCCGCCGCGCTGCGGATCCGGCGCCGCCAGGTGCGGGCGGAATGGTGGAGCGGTGGCGGCGTGTGCGCTCCAGACAGCAGGCTTCCCGGGCTCCTGGGAGAACGCACGCCCGGGCGCGCTTTGGGGGTTCGCTTCTGCACCGCGCCCCACCCCCGCTCGCGGAGTCCGCGCGCAGTCGCCGCCCAGCACCCCAGGACGTGTGGCGGGCGGGCGCGGAGACCCGGATGGCTCTGCTCCCCCCCCCACATTCGCTCTTCTTTTGCTCCTTGTCTTCCTCCGGAGAAGCTCAGCCAAGGAATTGCGAAAGCTTCCTGCTCCGTCCTTCAAGAACCGGACACACCCAGGGAGGGCGCCCCTGGCCCCGGCCCCCATGCCGGGGCCCCGCGGTGCTCGTGGCCCGCTGTCGGCGCCCTCCAGAGGCCACGGGGGACGCGGAGCTCCCCGGCCGGAGCACACTGCTTTGCCGCCAGAGGTGCTAAACTTCACACTCGAGGCCTCTCTGGGGCCTCGATCGGAGGGCTTGTGCTAGGCCGGGACCGGGGCGCGAACTTGTAATCACGGCGTGGCTCCCCGCCATTCCTTTCACATCCCATTCGCGCCGGCCCAGCTCTTCCCGGCTCAGCCTTCACCTCTTCCCACTCCCAAGAACTATGAAATTCCCCCATCTCAAGCGGACCCCAAATAACCTCCGCGCCCCCTTTGATCTCTTCCTGCCTCGGCCCCTGCTTGGCTCCAGGACACCGGGCGTCCCCACCTCGCCATGGAGAGGAGCGAGTATAAACTGGGAGCCGATGGAGACGGGTGGACTGAGCCCGGTTCTCGCTGAGGCCCTACCGAGCAAACCAGGCCTCAAGGCTGGCTGCTCTTCGCCCTCGCCCCTCGCTCCTCTCCCTGGCGCGCGCTTCGCGCCCGATCCTAATTGCCCCGGGGCGCCGCGGGCGGCCGTGGGAGCCAGGGTGGGGGCGCCCGCTGCCCCGGCCCCGATTCTGCCCCCTGCCGGTGGGACCCAGGTGTCCCTGGCGTCCGGGGCGTACATGACGCAATTCGGTGCAACTGAAAATTGCAGTGAATGCTTCCGTGGCCCCCAGCAGGGGTCCCCGGGCCGTGCAAGACGAGCGGGAGCGGCGAGGGGGAGGCCCAGGCGCCGATCCGGAGACTGGGGGGGCCGCTGGCAACAATGTCTCCATCGTGTCACCCCCGCCCCTAGGCGACACACCTCTCTACCCGGGCCTCGCTCGCTCCCGCAGCCTCCCCAGCCCGGCTCGCAGCTCCCTCCCCTGCACCGCGGC